TGATCATCGGGATCGCCGATTAAAAAATCTTTGGCGAACACCTGAACGTGAATTGTGTAACATGTCGGTCATGGTCTCACGTTTAAACTGCAGGAGCTAATAGTTCGGGATGTGTTCGAAGGTCAACGATCCTTCTGTTCGTTAGGGCATCATTAATGTAAGGATTTACGACGATAACGTCTTATCAATTTACCCTAATTTTCATGTTTTGCAGTCATTCATATCTATTCATTCATATCCGTGGATATTTTGATGCATACAACTAGTGACATAGTAGCCATGCTGCAACTGATGGGTCAGTACTTTTTGACCAGCGTCCAGGCATCACGACTTCCGTCTGACACGACCGATTGCGTAAGATAACCTAAAGTAAAAACGTTATGGGATCGTTCGTGACAGGTTCAGCTCGGAGCCCCTCTATATGCCTACACAAAATTACCATTCTTCAGTATTGAGCACTATTTTAGGTAACTGAAGAAATCGTGCACTCGTCGTGAGGGATTTGTAATAAGTGACTTGGACATCGATAGGTTTATGGTTTGAGTTGGCTTTGATTTGTTGGGGTTGCAGGGTCGTGACTGATTGAACAATGTGGCTCCGAAGCATAAATCCTCTACTTAGATCTGAGATTATCATTTCACCATTTAGTGTCAAATTTGATTTGAAGTCCTGAGTCTTGGATCTCAACCTCCCACGATAAAAATTTCTTAGTCTTTTATTTAATTTCAGTCATCATACATGCGTATATTCAGGTCTGACAAAGAAAAGCTTTTGAATTCAATGGATGCAGCATTTCGAATTGAAAATCTAAATTTAATTCCATATGAATCATTTAAAGATTCATAGAATTAGTTAATCAACATTAACGTTAACTGATGCAGCAGAGTGAATCCTATGAAACAAAACGAAAAAAAATGAAAATGTGCAATCAAGAGGGGTTTTAATATTAAGAACCGCGATAATTTTTCAAGAACACCGAAATTAAAACTTGTCGAAATTGCATTAAAATTGACAAAAAATTAGTTATTAACTCTGTAATATGATTGGGACACGTTATATGTTTTTTCTCAGATTCGTTACTGAATAGTAGTAATTAATTGACTCGCTTAACTTTGAAGATGTCTTAACCACGTCAGTTAAACAGAATAAAAACTTTGCGTTGACTAGACGGAACCGTATGGCCAATTAATTAGCCACTTTTTACAGCCACAGCAATGACTGAATAAATCTATTTTACAGTGGAATAGAAATCGTCGACGAAGTACGACGATTCCTGCACCAACTTCAGTCAAACTTAGAAAAAACCCGAGACGTGAGACGTTGGGCATTGACTGCGTCCATGGCCCCTTTCATCTCACAATATTCACCGACTTAATGGACCACGCAAAGCAAGAGAAATACTGTAAAGTAGCCAACCGATCGGTGCTGAACTGGCCACGTCCACTTCCTTATTGTTTACCTTGAACTTCATTTGGAGAAACTGACCGACGTCTATTGATGGATTCCCCCAGCAAAATTCTCTTAATGGTTTAAAACAATGTGAGTGCTGTAAGGTCGAGATCAGAGTATGCGGTTGGATTATTCTCAGCGATCTCCACCCAAAATGACAAAGCCAAACTATGCACACAATCCAGGAACAAACAGAATCCTCGTTACCATGGGCATGATTTCCAAAGGCGATGTCCATGAAATAAATAAATTTATAAGTAGAAGACAGATCTATGAACCATTTACTGATTCGACTAGCTCATTCTAGAAACAAGCTAGCGGTCGCTTTATCAGGGATGCGCTTAAGTTAAGTATTCCCTCTTCATTGCAGTGATCAAAACATAAGTAACAATTAACCAATTATAATTAATCTTAAGAATCTTCTATTAATCGAATTATAGTTAGGAGATATTATTTCTTCTCAACGGGTAATAAATAACGCAGCATAAATCCAAAAAAACGGCAAGTTGGAAATGTTACTTGTATGTAGACTGAAAAATTCTCAATCTTCTGCGAACGACCCAGCAGACAAAAAGTGGAAGCAAAAAAATTATTTCCCTGCATTCAAGTTCTTATTTTTTGTCTAGCTGTTCCATTCATGAAGATGAACAGTCGTTCGATCAGTCTTACACATCACGGGTATAGCTTACACGCAATGTTCGACCATCTTACACATCAAGGGTAGCTTACTCATCGTTACACCTAATAATTACATCACTCATAATTAATCAATTTCAAGAAAATTCCAACAAATTTCATAATAAGAACTCAATCAAAAATTTGAATGAAGGTATTCAACACTTCTTCCCGAGTAAAATTCCTCGTCGCTTCTTCAACTGCTCCCTCAAGCGAAAATTCGTCCATCAATCAAATCAACCAATAAAGCATTTCCGATCTCAGCTTTGTTCTTGAACTCGAACGAAAATCATGGTGGATCATTGAAGGCCAATAAACGTTAAGTTAACTTCATAACGTATGATCATCAGATTTCCATTTCAGTTGCTTCATAAATTTCGGATTCTCCAAAAGATTCAGCAGCCCATAACAAGTTTCCTACATCCTTATACTGATATAAGATTTGGACGAATGATTAATCGTCGTTCGTGATTTTACGTACGAATGTATGTGAAAAATTCACGCTGCAGCGCTCGCGGGTATTTCCTTGATTTCTCACTCAGAAAAGTGAATGGTAGCTTTGTCCAAATAGTGACACACATTTTTACATGCAGAGAGCAGACATAGCACCGATAAGAACTCTGGTCGTGCCAAACTGGGTCAAACGTGACCCCCAAACATCGCTATCCTATAACAAATTTAGAGTCGCCCCAGCTTCTGGTACTCCAAATCAGAAGCTCCCGCGTCTGTAAATTTTCACTATGTACTTAGACAAAGTATCACTCATTTCTGTGAGTGATCGCTTCATGTCTCTCTCACGAACTCATCGTGCAGGAAGAGGTTAATGTAGCCTTGAAATCGGCATCGGAAGTCTCCATTAATATTGAAAGGCAACTTTAACAGAGGAATGTAAATTAAAATCCTTGAAATAATTATAGCAGCCAATTAATACTAAATAATTGTCTTGTTCGTTGTATGAAAAGTTTGAACGTTGAGGTTGAATTTTGCAGAGAATCTATAAATAAGGATTATATGATCACTTGATTTGGTACGAGGAAATCGTTATAGGTAGCATTGAATATGTCAAATTTGCCTTCCAATTTTTCTCGGTTTTCCAATCATGATGAATCTCTATTTCTTTTCTGATAAGTATCACAAAACATATCAACAATCAAAGCTTAAATATTTCTTGAAATATCTTATTTTTCCGTGGATCCAAATTATCTGGCAATTGATATTACAATATTTTCGTGAGTTTAGGAGCAGGATTTTTTAGATCTTGAATCCATTTTATGATATAAAAAAGTGTTGGCATCCGTGCTTATAAAGATGATAACTGCAATAAGAATTCAAATGTCTGCGCTCGTATTGTCCCGGTGTCCGAACATATTTCAACAGACTGAGCCACAATTCTTGTCTGAAGTAAGTGATCCTCGTCTAAATTACCATTATAATTACTGATTGGAAAGTGAGAATAAATTTCAGATATTTATTCCCAGATATATGAGGTCAAGACTGTTTTGTGATCACTTATGTTGTATATAATATCTAAATCTTTGAGTAATTTTACTTAAATCATAAATTTCTAAGCATTTGCATTTGAATTCGCTTGAAATATCTAGTTTAATCTCATGTATTGGATTTATCCATGAAATAAAATCAGATGTAAGAGTTAGCTAGAAATTTATTATCTAGTTTTCATACCTGGCTATTTTACTTCACTCACCGGTATATATATCTTCAGACACAACTACTTTGCAATGGGTTAGGTTTTCCCCATAAGTTTTCAGAGAACGAAAGTTTTTTTCACGCTCAACTCAAAAGCAAAGTGATGCTATCATCATCAGGGTATTTGAATTTAACCCAACAGTGAATACTTGGTGCCTCATTTATTGTTATTAAATTTCATTTTGCAGTTCCAATTCACTGTCTTAACTTTTGAGTACAAATTCTGCGGAGGAGTTTGTAGTGAAAGTTAGAACTCAAATTATTGTCCGAGAAAATATGCATGGATATGCTTTGTTTCAATCGATTTTTAATTAAGTTTCAGCGTGCAATTTTTTGCCGTGAATTGAACCTTGTGGGGTTTTCGTCGTTCAGCGCAAACAATACGATTGCCCAATGCGAATAAATTAACCAGAACAATAACCTCAAATTAGGCTCCAGGAATCGCTCAAGATCTTGTCATGGAGCTCTCGGTTCAGATGGAGTTCTTCCCAATACTCTTATTTTTATTTATTTGGTATATAAATTCCTCCACATGATATTTGGCGCGTGATTGGACAATGGAATTATGTTTAAACATCCGAAATTATTGACTAAATTGATTTAGATTTTGAAATTGATTTTGGGATAATATTCTGGTATTATTTGGATAATATTCTAGATTGATTTTGGGATAATATTTTGAATGAAAAATATTTGTGCCGTGGTAAGTGGTTATTGAAATATCAAAGGCAACAAGCATCAATCATTGAACAAGTGAAAGCATACAAGCGTAAAGCATAATTTTTAACCCCAAAAATGAGGCAACACCAGCAAAACTGAAAAAAATATAACTCAGTACTCTCTGCATTGAGTGACAGAGAGCGCATTTTCTCGTCGACGAAAACGTGAAGTCACGGACGGACAGACAGACGGACGGTCGGACAGACAGACGGACAGACAGACGGACGGACGGACATGTCGAGCACAATGACGCTCTTTTTCCATGAATGAGAAAATGCGCTTAAAATTGTACTGGGAATTTTAATGCGACTATGGGAGGGCACGCGGTGCTAAGGGCGTGACGCCCGCAGGTGCCACGCAACTTACGGAAGGCATATAAGAGCGAAAGTGAGTGCCTCTGCCACCTCACTCGGCCCCGTGACTCCGGCTGAAGAGGACCGTGCGCCAGGCCCTGCCGTGCTAAGATCCGTGGCAGTGAGGGTACTGAGTTGGTATGCGGGCTTGATCTTACGAAGCTGTTGACAAATTTACTTTATATAGTGACTTGAGATTGATAATTAATTGAGTGAGAAAAAGGTTTCGTTAACTGTGAATATCGAGGAGTGAATTAATAAATCGATATCACATTGGACGGCATCGTATTATGACTTAAACGTTGCTTTTTTCACTGTGTTTTTATGGCTTAAATGGATAAGAATAAACCACATTATTTATAAAAGCTACCAAGCCACATGCCATTCTCAACATTGGGCTGCGTTCAGTGTTGGACCTCACGTTTCTTTATGAACAAGCTCCAATATTAAAATTATTGTTCAATTACAGTACTTAATTACACTTACTGTATAATTTAGTACTCACTTGTACGTGTTCTGTGGGGAATTTAACAACAGATATCATGGCATAACTTGGGTTCATTTGCGATTCATACCTTTTTGTTGAAAAAGCACAATTGTGCTTTCAACTAAATCTTGTTGATCCTCTTATGTTAAATTTGTTTATTCGATGATGTATACCTAGTTTTTTAGTTGCATCTGCATGCTACAAACGAAATAAATGGCATCAAAACCATAGAAAAATTACCAAATTAGCTTAAAAATAATCAATCTTGCTACTTCTCAATCAATTGCCCTCAAATAACCAATGAAAATCTGATCCGTTGCAAAAAAGTCAGAATGTTCCTAGTATATAAAAACATTTTCGTCCTGGCAATTTTTTCTTTGCTGCTCAACTCTCTTACCTAAAAGTTTAATACATGTTCAATATTTTCGAACGCTAAGCACATTACGATTACCTACAGATACAAAAAAAAAACATTAAACTAAAGGCGATTTAACTTACCGTTGTTGATTTTCAATGCAAATCAGTCGAATCAGTCGAATTTTTTTTTTTTTTTTTTTTTGACGCAAGATTCTGGATTGAAAAATTCATTTGAACACTACCAGCGAAATAAAGTTGAGAAAGGCATGCCATTCTCTACCAAAATTTTGTTATTAAATGCATGAAAAAATACAACCATTAATCAAATTATTCACTAATCACAATTGCGACTGTTATAAAGCAGTATCCGCACTCAAAAGGTAATTTCAGTGGCCAATTCAAGCTTCTGGAAAAATTCAAGGCAATTCGCAAATATTAACATTATTCTAATTTATTTAAATATCCTTCATGACTAGTAAAATAATAATTAATACTACGTTAAAACTAAAAATATTTATTCGAATTTCTGAACCTAGTTAAATATTTTTGATGTACTATTAAATGAGCTTCAATGTTGACTCTCGATTGTAACTAATTTCTTGTCGAAAGTTTTTCGTTCTTAAACCATTCTATGTATCATCTTGAGAATTCGAACCATTTATGTAAGCAGGTCTATATGCTTGTATGAAATTGTTTTAAAAGAAGGTCTAACCGGAGTTCTAGTAACCGGGCGACTCGAAAAATTAAGCGGTTATTCCGTTTTTTCCAAGTATGGTACGTTTCTCATACGTTAACTTGACAAAAAAACGGTAAATAGTTATATTTCACGGGGCGGCTGGTCACTAGAACGCCAGATAGTCCATTTTTAGCGCATTTTCTCATTTATAAAAAAACGCACTATTGTGCTCGCCATGTCCGTCTGTCCGTCCGTCTGTCTGTCCGTCCGTGATTTCACGTTTTCGTCGACGAGAAAATGCGCTCTCTGTCACTCACTGCAGTAAGTACCGAGTTATATTTTTTCACCGTTATTTCGACCAATGTTGAAAGAATCCGAGAAAGAATAAAATTCCACTCCATTTTAGCGTATCTGACCACTCAACATCTATAAGGAGTTATAACTTGCTTGCAAATTAATAAAATATAATTATAATATTTACAGACAATAATTAATGATATAGTTAATGTTCATTAGCAAATCATATTACCGGCTTATGGCAGTGCAATGAATAAGTTCCTTTGAGGACAGAGTCATCTTGCGGGACCTATAGTCCAACGCGTCGCCGCTTTTCATTTCTGTAAAATTTTTAGGTTTTCGACGATGTGATTTTCATCTAACAAAGCAAGCATTTAAGAAAGTTCAATAAAAACTCATCTTTAATTGTTATAAATTAACTGACCCCTCACTAAATTCATTTTGCAAATAGAATCGCTATTTCTGTTTCGACGATGTAATTTTCATCTAACAAAGCAAGCATTAAAGAAAGTTCAATAACAACTCATCATTAATTGTTATAAAATATAGATTAAGTGCCTCCTCACTAAATTCATTTTGCAAATAGAATTACTATTTCTGTATAATCCAGTTAGCAAGCGATATTAGGGAAACAAGCAGCATTGATTATTTATAATGCGCTACTGACTGCATGCATGGACTGCAGAAGCAGCTAGCTGGTGTGTATAGGAAAAGAAAACCTTGTTGGTCTGTAAAGTTTTTTGGCCTATTTGGCAGATCCCTCTCTATTGAGGCCTATAGATATATTGACGAAGTGGCGCTTGCCGTTTGTTTAAGTTCGCTCTTGAAGTAGTAATACGAAATATTTATCAGGAGCTCTCGACACAGCGACGTTCAACACGCGATGAATATCATTATAATTTGGAAGATTCGAGACGAATGCTATTCAGTTAAACTTCAGCTTCATTTTTTCTGGACGCATTAATAATCATTATTTCATGCCAGTTCCAATCTAGAATTCATTATATTCGTGCCAAAATTCTCGTGATAGTCTGATATGCCCTCCTGGTAAAATTCAAATTTATAAGTTCGGATACTATAGCATTTTTGGGTATGTTTTACCGAGCGCCAACAATGCTGTGATAAAACATAGTGAAAGTTAAACATAATAATAGAGGCATTGTTGAACTATCATTTACAGCACTTCTCGGTTCAGTATCTTGTTGTAATTCTTTAACGAGCACACGTCACGACACTGATCATTAGGTTCAATGATAAACATATCGCCACTAAGCACAACTTCGTATCCAATGAACTCCTATACAATTTAATGATAACCCCAAGCTTTGAAGCGCAATCCTTATAAACGAAACGTTGTCATCACAGTATTTTATCAACGCGGTTCCTGCAAATGTGAGCGAACGGATGTTGCTTTAGCAAACACTTCCTTATTTATCTTCATATGTTGTATCGTATCCATGTTATGAAATTAACACAAGTTATCTGTGAAATGTAGCGAGCTGCGTAAACTATACCTATGTCGTCTGACACGTGTCGTATCGTATTGTTATAGCTTGTGTCGTTGGATATGGATCTTTAATAGATAAAGAATGACCTTTTGATGTAATATTGAACAGCCGCGTAACCTGGCATTGCTGCACTCACCAATTTTTTGCTAGCCCTGATTTCGCTGATGCATTGTTTGGGCATCATTCATCATACTGGAAATGGCATATTTTGCTGCAAGAAATATCGAGAGATATCGGTATATTATTCAAATTCAATGCGTATAATTTAAACAGAGATAAAAACTTTAAGATTATTATCCTCTGAATGTGGAGATTTTTTTTTAAACTTCAAGCTAAGTCATTCCAGTTAGGAGATTAGCGACTGGCGACCTGAAAGTTCGCTCAAATAAATAGCGCGGTAACATTTCACCGAATCATTGCACTTTATTTTGCTTATTCATTCCCACACTTTCAAAGTGCAATTGCCTTATAAAAATTTCGGCTGCGCCAAACGTAAGAGCTTTTGCGGACCAGTACAAAGGGAAAGGCTCTCATTAATGCCTTCAAGAGGTACTTGCTTCAACCCAAGCCTCTTTGATGAAAAATATTCGAAACTAGAGCTTCAATATGGCATAAAGAATATTATTGAGAATGACATATTTATCACTTTTCCTTCGCTTGAGATTAAAGATGAGGGTGATTTTATTGTACCAGTGACGGAACTTATGCAACCAAAAAGCAGTTCATGGATTATAACTGAATCTGAACTGGTATTGCTTTTAAATCAAGAATAAATTGTGGTCCAACTCGTTGAAGAATAGCGAGTTGCATTGCTTTGATAAAGCCACTCGAACTGAAAAAATATGAAAATGTTAAAAATCTCATCGAAATGTTGTTGGCGTCACCAAATAAAAAGTATTTTCTCAATTAATGCATTTAAGATTGCGTAGAGCGGCTGCGAGAGGCTTTTTTATTGGTGTTTTGATGTCTTTAATTGAAGGAAGAACAGAAGGCGCTTCTTCTTACCTCACCTTCGGTTGGGAGGAGTCAACCGTGACCTTTGCTCGTAACGAGACTCACCTTAGACACCTGAGGGAACCACAGCATCCATCCGTGCCCTCACTCTTGCTACATTCTGATTAATTTCGCTAATGAGTGTGCCATTTCTCGCAACCTCCTTGCCTGCCAAATGAGTTGGCGCCTCCAATTGTACGACCGTTTTCTTTTGCTGACGTTTTGATGCCTATATAGCGAGCGGCACAGTCTTTGGGAACTACAGAAATCATTCAATAAAATTTTAAGTACCTATATAATTAGTCCGTCCAAATTGTGACTTCCCAGCAATTTAAAGCAAATAAGCGCCAAAAATCTTCAATGAAAATAGCATTAATATGCTGAGCGTTTTCTTTGTTTTTAAGTCGGATACCTTAATATTCTTAATAAAGATCGAGGTAAAAATAAATAAAACGCTTAGCATTGATGTTGCTAACCGATCAACTTATTTTCCGTTTCAGTTAACACGATGCACGGGATTTCTGTGCTCTATCTCGCCATCCTCTTCTTCTTGGCAGAGGTGAGTAGATCAAAGATGTAGAATTGTAGATTATACATCTGTAGGTAGATGATGTTGTAGATTGATCATCATGTAGGTAGATTGATGTTGTAGATCAGCATGTGTTGTAGATTGATCATCATGTTGATTGATGTTGTGATCATCATGTAGGTAGATTGATGTTGTAGAATGATGGGTAGATGAATGGTGAGCATATTAATGCAGAACCGTGAGTAGATGAATAGTGAGTAGAAAGGCATTAATTCTTACGGCCCATCAGTCTTTTATGTAATCTGTCATTATCCCAAGAGTGTTGTGTGAATATAGTTATGCAGGACCAAGAAATTTTTATTACTAGAATTTCAAAGAAACAACAGGTGCCTCTCATGGGATCTGAAGTCATGAAAGTTCACGTAAAGAACTCGGTGATATTTATGATGTCTCTTTAATTAGAAAAAACACATTGCAAAACAAAATTTGCCTGGCTTAAAAAATTTTATGATGGCTTTTGTTTTACTAAGGACAAATTGCAAATCTGGCAATGCAAAATTTATTCTTTATTATTTTAAATAAATAAATAATAATTTCAACTACATCCGTAACCTGAGGAATGTTAACGAAAATCATGATTAATCAGAACATTCAGAAACATATTTATAAAAAATATAACTCAGTACTCACTGCAGTGAGTGACAGAGAGTGCATTTTCTCGTCGACGAAAAGATGAGGTCACGGACGGACGGACAGACAGACAGACGGACATGGCGAGCACAGTAGTGCATTTTTTCCATAAATGAGAAAATGCGCTAAAAATATTATTCTTAAAATTATCTATTCTTAACGCAGCCAAAGAATGATCAGAACTTTCACGCCTTGCAATACAAAAAGTAATTCCAGTAATATTTCACAAAAATCGAATACAGCTACCTTTTTCATGAGCATTGCAGACGTTACTACTGCCTTCAAAAAAGATGGTCAAGGCACTACGAACGACAATGAACGACTTTTTAATAATTAATATGTTCAGGTTCAAATGCCTATATATTAACCATTTAAACAAAACTATTTTCGACCAGTATCACATTCTTGCTGGGCGCAGCCTGACGTTCCTACACCTTGTTCAAGCAAATAGCATCGAGATGCTACACTCAATTACCGCAAGACTCTAAGCAACTACACGAGAGAATGATTGAGTGAACTAGCGAAAAAGCGTCTAGCTTCTTACAGCCTGTAATCATCATTGACATCTGCCAAGATGGCTCAAGCGACCTTCACACAGCTCGTTCTCTTTGCCATCTTCTTCGAGTTTCGCCTTCTGCTTCCATGAGAAGCTCCACTATTTGACTCGGCGCCTGACCCCGCGGCTGCAATAATTACTGTCGTCATTCGACGTTTTGTAGCTCAGTAAACAAGAGCTTCCAATGTCACGGTGTCACAGTTAATCTGTTACTAATCTATGATGAGTTAGCTTTTGGGCTGCAACGCGTTCAGACCGAGACATAGCAATTAATATGATCCTAATGTATGACGACTCGTGTCGCAAAGCGTACTGGCAATGGCATCACGGTTAATCTGAAACTAATCTCTGCAGGGTTATCTCTGAAACTGCAATCTTTACTCGCTAATTGCAATGAATTTTAACCGAAGAAATTTTTTAGACTTTACACAGATTTACTCAAAGTACCGCAAATTAAGATATTATGCTTAAATAGAAAAATATTGCAAACTCTTAGGCAGCCTTTTTTATAAATATGAAAGTGGCTTTTCAATCGCTTTTTAAATACATTACTAAATTTAATTCACGAGAACTGATTACTTAGTTACCTTTGGATTAGTACCACGATTCTAAAAGCAGCTTAAACAACATCACTATTATAATTATCCTTCAAAGGCTCCGACTGAACAGCTTGCGTGTAAATAGAGTAATACTTGCAATCACGATTTAATTAGTGTTAATACGTGATGATTTAGCTCGTAGAAAATGTTTGCAAAAAAAAGTTTATCTGGTGAATTGAACAATGATCGAAACATTTTTGAGCGTGTTTCGAACCAAAAAGTGCGCTTAAACCATTTTTATCGAAAGCATTAAAAACACAACTTCAGTGCCAACGCCTTGGCCTTAACAGCCTTGAATATCGCGTGCCGATTCCGATTTGACCGAATTAAATTTTTCCCAAGGGCTCAACTGAATTTTTTAACCTTTTGTAAAGGTTATGTTGCTCACAAGCAGACCATATGAGTTAATGTTCACTGAAGCGTTTATAAGGTTACCGCCTCAAAAATGTACAGGCTGGTGAGAGATAGCTTATCCTGACCTAATATCCCTGAATTTTTCCTAATATCCCTGAATTTTTTATCCTTTCAGGGTCAGTGCTCGAAGTTAGACGGCCATCATCACCATCATGGCCATCACGACCATCATCACGACCATCATAACGACCATTCCACTAATGATAAAAACCACCGGGATTTCGTCTTGAATGAGGTTAGTTGAGTTTATATTGGATAAGGCGTTCAACGACCATCGTAATGAGGTGGAAAACGTGATCTAGAACTTATAGAATAATGTTAGGAAAACGAAAACGCTTAGTTATCAAAAAGAAAGACAGCTCATGCCTTCAAGAATATCAGTGCGCAGTTGACATGGCGAATCCTTTGTCAAAAGATACATACATTAACCGACGACAATGCAAATCGTTCAAAGACCTGCGTCTGATGTAAGAGATACCGTCAGGACGCATAGATTCGAATTGCAGCTTGAAATAAATAATAGTTTTACGAACATTCATATGAAAAAAAATGATATTCGTGGTCAATAGAAATCAAATTAGTGCAAAAGGTCTTTGAAAGTATTTATTTGTAAATAGACCGTATAACAGTTACAATATTACGATATTATGAATGTTGTAATATTAAAAATAAACATAATAAAACAAACTTTAACTTGTATATTTTATTATGTTTATAAACATGATAAAGCATAATAATAGTCTACTAAAAATTGTTATATAATAAAATTATTGTTTCAAATAAGAATGCCAAAACAATACAGTATTATATACCAGCAAAATATAATATATTATAATCTTGAGAGGATATATAGATTAACATGATGACAATTAATTAGGTTAAACATTCGAATAAGCAACTAATTAAGCATCTAAAGAAGACATTCGGATAAATTGAAACTGACAGTATTTCTCTTTAATTGGCCCGGGCTTTTAGGTAAAATTACATCCAAGTTATAAATTATTATTACAAACATTGACACTCGTTGCTCTCTCTGACAGGATATCTTCGCACGAGCCCTGGCAGCAGAAGTGCAAAATGGATTGTTTTCACCTCTTCCAGAAAGAACAAGCAACCAACGCTTCACAACAGAACCACCCAGCAGCAGAGGGTCCACCAAGTTCAGAATGCCAACAACGTTGTTTTCCAATTCCAGTCCAGTGACACAAAGAACCACTCCGATCAATAGTCAGAAGACTACTTCAAGTGACTCACGAAGAACGTCTCATGTGTCTCAGAAAACAACGCAAGCTTTCCAAAAAAGCGTGCTTCGAGTTGAAAATAACCAAGAAATTCTCACTCCAATCACGTCACTGGCATCGCCAGCACACACGCAGAAGAGCGGAAATTCTTTGAGGAATGCGAAAAATGCGATTAAACAGAATACATTCCCTGCAGAAACAACTACCGAAATCAACGATCCAACAGGATTTGCTCCAAGAGCTCCTCCTAAAACTGCTAAGCAGTTCGATCCTTTCTCCCCAAACGCAAATGCTGCAAAGCAACAGCTGGCAAAGTTTCAAATCAGACCTAAAAATCCCGCTCCTGACACTTCAGGATTTGCTCCAAGAACACCACCTCCACATGCAAAGAAGTTCAACCCAGTACCAGCGAAAAAGTCAGGGTTTGAATTCAAAAAGTCGCAATCATCGCCTTCAGTTGCCAAAGAAATAAAAGGATTTGTCCCTGTATCTCCTCCGCCTACGGCTCCTCAGTTTAATCCTGTACCGGGAACATCCAATACGGCAGTCTTTAATCTCTTCACGACTGTGGGCTTCAAAACGAACGAATTTACGACTTTTGCGCCTTTTGACCTCACTGATCCGTCCTATGACACCGATTATGAGTCAAACTTCGACAGTACCGCAGATTATGACTACACCGATCAAAACAGTGTAGGTAAAGCTTTATTAGACACACGTAGTTCTTTTTCAGCAACCACAGCCAACTCAGTTTTGGAAACCGAAGATTACCCAACAAATTTGGATTTAAATGTCGGTGTTCCTTTACCTACAGCCAACGTGGGTCTGGACAACAACCGTGTTAACACACAGAGTCAGATTAATGTTCTTGGGGCTCTCAGTTCCTCAGGAAACATTTTGAATTCTCCCAAGTATAATATAAATCACGAAAATCATGTTCCCGATGACACTCATTCCACTCGTCATGTTTCAACGTCCTCTCGAGTCGAGCAAACGACAGTACCTGCATTCGACACCACGAGTCGTCCGATCAGCTCTGCCCAACGGACAAACAGAGTGAACAATTCTGGTACTGCTGTCAGTGGTCCTTCGGCCCCAGCGGCCTCGCAAGGTCTTAACGGCAGATCCTCTATCACAGAACAGCTCACTCAGTTTGCTCGAGGAAGCAACACTGTTGTTCAAACGAACCCACCAGCGTCCGATGTAAGCTTACCAATCGAAGGGAGAGCAAACTTCGAAATAGGGGTGCCACTCCCGGCCATTTCTGACACCGGTATTGCACTGCAGCAGTTGGACAACAGGCTACTTCCATCCAGGAATGACTTGGCCGTAGGCAGACAGCTTGGGCCACAAGCGGTGAGTAGTCTGGCATGCTATAATAAAAAATTTTCGCCATTCATTCTGTAATATTTCACAAAAAAGCATCTTTAACACTAGAATATGTTTTACCAAGTCTTGTTCTAAATGCTTGTCCCACTAGTGCGAGACTACAGGTTAGATTTACTAAATACTAACAACATTATTATTACATTATCTCATGTTAGGAATACTAGCAAATATTCTTCACGTGTAGAAATTTTTTAGATTTTTTTAGAGATAAAAGACCAGCATTAGGAATCATTCAACCAATCATCGCTCAAAAAACTCTGATCAAACCATTCCTGGATAAGCTTTGGTCATGAGGGTAGCCGTGATCGAGCTGCACACTCTCGAGACAGACAACCGTGACAGGCGAGCAATCTGCTCCCGAGCATCCATGTAATTTTTTCATGAGTCATCACTTTATTTCGAGAGGTGGCAGGAGCTGATCCATCTTATAGAGAAAGTTCCTATAGTCAATTACTTTGAACTAAATGATGGGTGCAGCTACAGCAGCAGTGAGAAGGGTTTATTCTAATATTAATCCTTTCGGGCATTGAAGTATATTATTGCGATTTTAATATTTATAATCGCAAAGCTAGTTTGCTGCATACTTGACGGAAATTTGAAAAAATAGGTGTGCCAATCTGTTAAGAATCAAATCAGAAAAATATTTATTATCAGTTAGGTTCAATTTCAAATGTATCATTGATATTTATTCTTTTCAATACCTATGTAAAGAATATATATATTGGATGACATTACTTGTAGACGAAACTATTGACCTAGAGTGTGTTAATTTTGAATAGATGCGTTATAGTTCCAAATAATCAATTTATGATCAAAGTCAATAACCTATAGTTCTTTTGGAGGCATTTTCATTTTAATTAGCATTATTCAATTTCCTTTTCCGAGAGTTCTTTCGCGACGGTGAGTCCTAATTGACCATTTTATTCAGGGTCAAAGTGAACCCCAAAAAATTGTATGCACAAATATTTTCATAGCATAGCTCGTCATTCTCCCGAAGCACAGGATACTTTAGAATCGCATTGCCGTGTATTAAGAAATACTTTTGCATCGCATTGCAAGAAATCTTCTTGCATTCCCATGTTAACAGCCGCCAATGCATGTGCTTCTTAGGTTAGGAACAATGCGAGTGCTCAATGGTTGACCTCAGTTTGCCAGTGTACTCACTCAAACGACCGAGAGTGAGCCATTTCTACTGCATACCAAAGCTGAACAGTTCCTTCTTGTTATGCAACTGGCGTTCCCACGCTGAGCTCCAGATATCGCTAACCATACTTCCTTCCGCTGCCACTTGCTGGCACTGCCTCCACGTGGCATCAGCAACCGCAATGCCTTCCGCTGCCACTTGCTGGCACTGCACCCACGTGGCATCGGCAACCATACTGCCTTCCGCTGCCACTTGCACGTGGTTGCTGATGCCACTGAGTACACGTGGCATCAGCAACCGTACTGCCTTCCGCTGCCACACGCTTGCACTGCGTCCACGTGGCATCGGCAGCCGTACTGCCTTCCGCTGCCACTTGGCACTGCGTCCACGTGGCATCGGCAACCGTACTGCCTTCCGCTGCCACTTGTTGGCACTGCGTCCACGTGGCATCAGCAACCGTACTGCCTTCCGCTGCCACTTGGCACTGCGTCCCCGTGGCATCAGCAACCGTACTGCCTGCCGCTGTCACTTGTTGGTACTGCGTACACGTGGCATCAGCAACCGTACTGCCTTCCGCTGCCACACGCTTGCACTGCGTCCACGTGGCATCGGCAACCGCACTGCCTTCCGATGCCACTCGATGGCAATGCTTCTGGCATCGGCCACCGTACTGCCAGCCGCTGCCACACTATGGCAATGTGTGTGGCATCGTCTACCGTACTGCCTGCCACTGCCACTTGGTGGCACTGCGTGTAGCGACGTCAGAAAAGTACAAAAATGTGCATCAAATGCCATCAGCTGCTAGGTTTTACATGAATTAAATCAGTTTAATTAGACGTTAGGACTGCCTTGGACCATGATAAAAATCTCGCTTGTCACACATTTGGACAAGTAGCACATTGAAATCGACTAGTGTTCAGTTGAAATGATTCATATTTGACCAATCGATCTTACAGTTAGGAAGTAAGTTATGAAATAAAATCCGAGACATTTCATTCTATGAAAACATAAAACTGGTAAAGATATATAAAAAGTCTCATATAGAAACAAATCCCATTGCAAACTCGCACAAGTGCCAATGAATGAAGAAAATAATTCAAACAGTTTTCAAACGTCCCTCATTTTTTCAAAACTCCCTAAAACCCAATATAAACCTCACCTAAAATTATCCGTGCAGAAACTGTGCCTTTCTATAACAGTTTCATTTTTAGCCAACCTCGACCCACAGCTTTCCTACGTGGCATGAAGGCTGGTATCTTACCTACACAATTACTACACGACCTCTCATCTCGAGCCCTGATCTTTACGCTTGCCCTTGTTTTGAGCAGGAAAGTTTATCTGTTCTTTTTTAGGACTGTTGCTAAGCTTGAATAAATTGATGCTTTATGCCCGCCGCAGCGCACGATACTGATCGCCTCGCAGTAACCATAGACTTGTGCATGCGCGATTCGTGCAACGCATTAATATGCTTCAAGAAAGCGGGTAATTATGGCATAAACGTTAAATCAAAAATTTATTTCATTCTGTCGTTTGCACGTGGCGCTGTTGAGCTTTTTACATTTGCCGATGTACGGAGGTGAATATTTTTTGAGGCTTAATGCTAAAAACCTCATTGATTTACAATTTTTTTTAAACAAGATATTGTGTTGTCAATAAGTAGTTCATACTCAGGTTTTGCCACATTAGTCATGAAATTAAAGGAATCGTTTTATGAAATCAATTACGATTAAGAATTAACTATGAAGATACGAAAATTCGCAAAAAAATGTCCGCGTTATATAAATACATTATATCCTTATTTTAAAAGTAAAACTGTTCTAGCGCTAAAATAAGACTTTCGAAATTGACGAATCAAATACGCTTCCAATTCCCTTAAGTAATAAGTTTCCTAGAACGACCATAGAATAACCTCGTATCCAATTACCTCTGACTTCGTCGGGAGCGAGCAGACGACATGCAATCTATTGATCTAGGCGGCACAGCTTTAGAATCAAAATATTAGTATGTTTTTTTTCAAAACCGAAAGCTCTATTCAAGCGGAAATTGTCGGTAATTTATAATTTAATATAATTTATTTTGCACCTCGTGACTGGATAAGGAATATCATAGCGTTTCAGCCACGGCATCTGCATGGTAAGCTGGGATCACTACTTGCAGCTCGTCGAAGTTCCCCAGTCGAGGTGCGCCCGCTGTACCGCTTCGTGGGAAAATAATCTCTTTGTTCATTCTTATTAGCAACGCTCGCCTGTTTTCAGAGAGAGCGCTTGACTATTTCCAAGATGGATATTTAGCCGCATAAAAGTTGTTGCTTCATGCGCGGTGCCCCACTCGATAACATGCATGCACAGAACCAGTAAACCAACTCAAGCAACATCATCATCGGGAAGCTCATAGTTATTTTCACCAACGAAAGTAAAATTCGATGTGGAAAGTCTGCGTTGGGCAAGTATGACGCCGCAGTGCTTTGATGCAGCCTTACCTGACCTGGCACATTATGGGGTGAGGTCCAAGGGAATCGTGAGATGCCCTGTGGCCCTTCCAATATAGCTGGACCACCGTATCGAGAGCTCGCTGTATGAGAAAAAGAAAGTGCAGCACCGCTCCGTGACTCCGCATAGCAAGACACAGTTTGGACAGGCGTGATCCTTATCTTTTTTACGGCTATCAACGAGCAAGCCTTTCATCTGGAGCTGGAGCAATTGCTTTCGGAGCGAATCAATTATGAATAATTTTAAACGGAATCAATAAGAGTCTCCTAATCATTTTATAATGTGCTTAAATTGTTCCAAATTTTTTTCAGTATTTGCAATTATTTTTTAATAAAATATTTAAATCTTAATGTGCAAAATTTTCGCAGCTCTGATTGGCTATTCTTCATAAACTTATTTATAAGCTGTTTTGTTAAAAGTTGTTAGTGAAAGAAAGTAAATTCCAGAACGAGCGTTGTCAGGGAGGACGCTCTTCCTATAGGACAGATTACACAAGCTGAACGGCGTCGCAGGCTATAACATTCCACCCGGTGCGTCAGAGACATGAAAGTCTTGCCGATCCTGCTCGCTCGGGAGTTTATTGGCTATGGTCACGGAGACGAGCGAAAGATTAGAATAACAATAGTAAATTTAAATTTCAGATGTACCTGAAAATTGTGAATACTTACTCGGTCTTAAAAATGTTTCATTGACTTAATGAGTGAATACTCATTGCAGGTCTACTTATTTCTCTTTTTCACGAACAAGGTAACAGATGTGTTCATCTCTCAAACACAATTTAGAACATTTATTTCCAGCAACGAATTACATTTAGTCCCATAGCCAAATGCATACTCATTCACTTACAAATTTATGAACATCTATTTTTCTTCTTTGTGATGAAAGTGTCAACTAAAATGTGTGTGTTTTTTTTTTGTTCGTTCGGTTGACAAATTTTGTTTACTGAATCTCGCATTATGAAGAGGAACTTAACATCATTGCGATCTTCATCCGCGATCTTTATTCAATGCGGTCTTCATTGCAATCTTCATTCAATGAAGATCATTGCGATCTTCATCCGAAGAATCGAATTACAAAATCTTTCCCATGCTCGCAAAATCAGAAGCGTCTCTATAGTATAATTATGCAGGCATTACCATGAACACATCCAGCTCCTCTGCTAAGTACACAGTGAAGCAAAGGTTTCCCTCTCACCGTACAGGGATAGACGTCAAACAATCGTGGGTGCGAGCGGTCAAAGGTTCGCTATGCGGCCGGCTGTGAATTAGCATTAGAAAGCCCCGTGGCTTGTACCCCTGTTGACTGATGAACGACACGAGCTGACAAACGCGCGT